TTAGAAGTTATGAGCAAAAAACTGAAAAAGATCGAAAATTTCTAGGTCTTTCGACATCCCCCCAAGTAAGCACAGGGTCCTCGAAGTCGAAAACTTAGATTCAACTCCACAGACTATCCACAAATAACATGCCAAAATATCAATAACTCCGGAATACTTTCCAGCTACCCCCTTTATTTATTACTTGTCTGCTGGCCTAACAGTCCTGCGAGAGTCCTGCTGATTTTTCAATAGCAATTATTTCGGCATACAGAATGTTTCAATCATCCCTGAGTTTGTTTGTATAACTCTTAAATGTTTAGTGCTGCTGAGTATACTCTGTGCCGGTTTTTATTTTTGCGCTATCTGTGAAGATTGCTATCTCATTGATCCCATAGTCTTCTCTTGAAGGCATAGTGACCTTTATCCTGTCCTCAAAAAAATATTTGGCCACTATGTAAAGTCCGGCCATTTCAATCTGATACTCCAAAGGAATGTGAGCTGGTGGTACCCCACGTTAGAACGCCATTGGTAACCTGACCTCACACCTGTTTTTTCCATAAGCTTCAGTCCCTCATACGGAAGGTGTCAGATTGAAAACAACGGACAATAGTCCGTTGCCTCGAGGAGTTTTTTGGCCTCTTGGCGGTCCATCAGGTTTCCTTCCACAGTTTTGATTCTCTTAGTCTAAGAGCTCCCTTTACAGCTGTGCCTCTTATGAATAAATCTTGTGGCAGCAGATTCAGCATGAACCTCTAAGGCCGCCTGCGGTGTGCTTCTTTTTGCTCCCGTTGTATCGTTTGGTGTCATTCTGTGTACTTTGGTGAGAATTTCAAGTTCACGTTTCTGTCAATAGCCTTCCAGCAAACTAACGCTCCGTAGCTTATAATAGGTCTCACTATTCCAGTGTACATCCAATGGATGATGTGCGGTTGCAGTCCGCATTTTTTGTCGAATAGTTTTCTGCATTGGTATATTGCATTCAGGTCTATTTCAAATTTTTCTTCCGTGTTTCTCCTCCACGAGAGTTTGGAGTCCAGAACGAACCCTAGAAACTTTGCTATATTTTTGATAGTTCGAGGGTTTGTCTTCCAACCGTCGGCATTGTAAAACTAGGGATTTTGTATTTTCTTGTGAACAGAACTAGCTTGGCTTTTTGAGGGCTTACTATCCGAATCCGTTCTTTCCTGCCCATCTGGAGAAATCCTTTATTGCAAATTCCATGATTTCACTGATAGTTGATAAGCTGAAGCCCATCATCAGTACTGCTACGTCGTCAGCATACGCAAAACATTTGACCTTTTTTTTTTAAGGCTTTTACGACCATATTGATTACTTACCAACAGCCACAAGAATGGAGATATCACTCCTCCTTGTGGAGTCCCTCCGGTTGTTCGTTTCCTTATTGTATAGTCACCAATTTCTGAATTAATCATTTCATTTCAGCATTTTTACTATCCATTGTCTAATGACTGGTTCTACCTTCAGGTGCTCCATGGATTTTTCAATGGGCTCAATTATTACATTATTGAATCCACCCTCTATGTCCAGAAATGCACCAAGTGTGTATTCCTTATTTTCGAGAGATCTTCAATTTCTCCAACTACTTCATGCAGTGCACTGTTGTTGATCTGGGCATTGTGTGTTTATTCCCGTTAATTCTCTAATGTGTAGATCAATCAGCTTCTCTAGAGTATTTAACAAATATAAAGATAAACTTATTGGTCTATTTACCCGCTTTGGGTATAGAGAAAACCTTCACTTCCCTCCATCTTGCTGGTGTATGCCCAAGTGTTAAGCAATCAGCAAATATTTTTTGTTTCGGTTTTAGAATCCTTTCCAACAATTTTTGTAGTAGGTGAAGTGATTGTGCTTAATCTGAGAAACTTAAAGAAGCATATCACTAAATTTGTTTGGACTTAGTTCAGAATCAGTTCAATTCAGAACTGATTCTGAACTAAGTCCGAACAAGCCTTCTGTGTAATTATAAACAGCAATAATTTTACAATTCGAGGCCATTGACATTTCACGCATCTCATGAAATCTGGTTAACCAAATGTCTGGTTTCATCTCTAATTTCTGTCAATTACTTTATATTTCATATTTGCGTTCCTCAAGTTACCGGAATTTTCAGTAACCATCTGTCAACCGATTCGGTTACTTTGGTTAACGTTTGGTTATATTCGGACAATAGCCTTAGTTAGTGGTTTTGTGTTTCTAACATAACCCTAATTTAAATCATTATTATTTTGTAAGCAATTAAAATAATTCCAGTGTGTTTTTATCTATTTTCATTTAATCAGCGTGGCGTTTCAATAATGAAGTAAACACGATATCTTTTGTTTGTGTTTGAGTGATGTCTTCTGATTGGTTCAATGGTAACTACGCAGTTAAGTTAAAAAAAAAACACAAGGCTGGTTTTCTTCAAGGGAATTGGGTTCTAAAAAGGCCTCTTCTCTGGCAGACCGTTGATCGGGCAAGTCGATTTTCACTTTGTATTTTCTTTTTCCTTCAGATTTCTAGATTTTCCCTTAATATTTTTCGTTTTATTTCACTATTAGTGTCTACTATCACTGTTGGGTTTTTATCACCAGATATCTTATCCTATCTACTTAAAAATATAAATATTATATCTTTTTTTTTTACCTATTGTGATCTTCCATTTTGTGTGGTACCTCCCACATTTTTCTGGGGAGAGTCAATTCAAAGTTTTGGCTGATAGATAGGTATTGTTACTTTGGTATTTTAATCTAATTGTTAGTGTGGGATTATTGGAACTATCTCTAGATAGAGATGGTGTAAACTAAATTTGTGTGTCCAAACCTATCCCTATCCCTATCCACATGTTACTGTTCCAGAAACCTATCTAGCCACTTATTTTTTGACTTCCTCATTATCGCCTCAAGAAGGAGAGTGCTGAAAGGGTGAAGTTTTAAGATAGAAATCCCGATAGGTTAAAAATTAATGTAAAAAGTTTTAATTAAAAAATCTCAAGAATTTTGACAGTTCCTTGGATTTGATTTATTTCACCCTCAGCTTTATCTTGTAGTGCCAATAGTGGGTACCTTCACTTAAAAGGAAAATTTATCTATTTGGGGAAAATCTAGAGATTTATTTTTTTAACTTGTTCAATTTTTCCTACATTTTTTTAAAAAATTTTGCCAGTGCAGCGTTACTACACGAGAAGCAGCATTCTGCTCAATTATGACGAGCATCTATTTTCACTTGTTTTGGTGTACTTAACTATTAAGGTTACTTTTTTTTTAAAGCTTAATATTTAATTATTTTTAAACCAATTTACAATAGTTGCTTATACCTGATTCTGTTGGAAAGGAGTGTCTGCACAAAAATAGTTTTAGATTCAATTTAATTTCAAATTTTCTCTGCAAGATAGGTACCTACTCACTTTTTAACAAAATTCAGGAATTTAATAGGCCTGTTCGCACAGCAATCACAAACCAGTCAGAGCGAATCTCATTGGTTGGAAACAGTCAGAAACAGTCAGAAAACTAGTATCAACCAATGAAATTCGCTCTGACTGGTTGGTGATTTATGTGCGAACAGGCATAATATTTCAAACCTTGGTGAACCTGATAATGCTTTATTCTTTTCTGGGTACCTATTCCACATAAAAGATCACTATTTGTAGTCTGGAACAGCTGGAGTGACGTCACACCAGCAATTTATCCTCTGTCCTGGATATAGGAAACAACTCAAAAAGCTTCAGTTCACGGAAGTGGAACCCCAACATCCAATGAAGAGCTCCGGATTGTAAAAGTATAAACTGTATTAGATTCACCAGAAAAACTAAATGTCGAGCTAAATGTACCTACATCATAACTTCAAAATTTTCAGAATATATTCAATACTTTGTTATATACTCACATTGCCAAAATAAAATTATTGTTTGTTAGAATTTGAGTGGTTTCATTTGCACATAAAGGGTCTACATGTTTTATTATTTATTTTTGAATTCCACGACCCTATATGTTTTCCTGCTCTAAATTACAAATATTAATTTAATCAGTAACAATGTTTACCAAAATGTCCATCTGAACTAGAAAACATACAGTTTCCTGGGGAGTTTAGCACGTTTCATCAGAGGATTATCATTCAGTTTGGGGTATAGGGAGTTATACATATTGGGTGGGGTGCATGAGATGTAATGGTGTTATATTTATCACGCTAAATTTCTAAAGCATACTTTCTTATTATTGGGAAAATGGAAAAGGTCAGTACAAGGAGTAAGTTTTTCAATCTCTTCACAACTAACAGCCTCCTTTGCTGTGCAGTAAGTACTATATTACCACATGGCGTGTGCCCAAAATACCTGTTCATGGACTGGCTTCAATATACTTACGCGAGATCACATAAAAGTAATTCCAGACGACTTGAATTATTTGCCAACAATAGACAGCCCTGCCACGGAAAAGTCAACAGTCCTGCAAATACTTACCGCCATACTTGTAAGCTACCTCGTCATGATTGACCCCCTCCTCAACTTTTTGGCTTATGCATAAGCCAAAAACACGTGGTTAAAGTTTCTTTCAGTCCCTTCAAATTATAATGACTTATGGGTCTGGCACAAGGACTATGAACCAAGAAAAAAACGTGGCCCAATAATGTAATAAAAACTATACCAAATTAAAAATAAATCGAGAACAGGAACAAAGGAAAAACTCATTTCATCTAAAATCAAAAACTTGTCGTATTATACAAGACTACCATAGAGTTAAGAGCAGAGATAGTATATAAAGTGCAAAAGAGAAAGATTTATTGAATAGACTTAAATGGATTTACCGTCACGAAGCGAGTATATTGCCCTGTCACGAACAGCACATGTACCTACTCAATGTTGGGAAAATTGCATTTAAAAAAAAAATCTGATACTAAAGCGATATTTGACATTGCATTCACATTTTTAAATTAACTCAATACACTTTAAATGGAACAATTTCTAGGACTGATACATTGATTAGTTTAACCTATTCCTATAAGAGCAAGTTTTGATTAAATCTCACCTTAGATGCTCCAGTGTCCTTCATTTTCAAATCGCCTTCGAGTAACAAATGACGTTTTCTTTCTTGTGGACAGCCCAACATCGGCCGCGTCAAGTCTAGCTGAGTTAAAGATTTGTCCCGTTTCAGTATGCGCTCGATGTCGTCGTCCCGCGACTCCTGTCGGAAAAAGAACAAAGTATTGTGAAAATTACTCTGTTTAATGGGAAATAATATTTTTTAGGAGGCTATTGTGAGGAAGAAAAGTTTCAGAGCCAAGACACTAATCCGATGGAATACTAATGATCTTTCTTTTCAGTTATTTGTCTTGTAAGCTAAAAAAGTAAGTACCTAATACTTTTAGGGGACAACAACTTGATACAAATTGATCACTCCTTCGAAACTTAAATTCAAATTAACAAAATCTAGCATAACAATACCTATACCTAATATCGGTACCTGAAAGTAACAAGTATAATCTTTGATTTAACATGCCCCAACTTTTTTTTAGACAATTTAAGTTAAAGATTTGACGATTTTCAAAAAATTTGAGTATACTAAGAATCTCAAAAGATGTTTCAAAACCGATTTAACTACAAGCAGTGTTGAAAAGAAAATAAAATAATCCTAAATTGCATTATCTAGGTTATTGAAAAACACTCAATAACAATAAAACTCACCACGATGTCGTAACTTTCGATTCTGGCAATGATCCCTTTCAATCTTTCCGTGTCCTGTCTATGTTTTAAACTAGAGTTAACGTTATTCACGAAATCGTCCACCATTTTAATCTGTAAAAACACGTCCAATTAGGAATTAACAAAATTTGTATCGACAGCATAAATGCAAATTGAATTTTATCTAGCGGCGGAAGTGCACAGGTTGAAATTAGGTCACCGGTATAAATTCTGAACTTTGCCAAAACTTTACTCCCGTTTATGGTCGACTTGACAGATTAGAACTGTGCGAAGCTATGTCAGATTTCGAGAGTTTGTTTATTCGAGCGAAGCAACACAAAATTACTGTCTGAAAAATTATTAGAGTGACTTTTTCTCAGAAGGTTTAACTGAAAGTCTAGAGCTTAACGCCTGTCTGGATTAGGGAAATTAGTCGACTACTGAGAGCGTAACGCCTCGAGGTTAATTAAAACTTACGCGATTGAGCATATTTTAAATTCTAAATTTTGCTTTCCATAGGATAAAATTTAATTCAAAATTTAAATAATTGAAAATTTCAAATAGGAATTTTAACAGGGACTCACCATTGCTTGCAAGCTTTCCTTTTCAACGTCCTCATCGGTATTTTTTAAGACAGCCTTCAGGAGAAGGCCGTATTTTGTTAATCTTTGCATTGGCTGAACAAGAATATCCATAAGTCGTAATCTAAAGAGAAAAAAAATTATGTTAAAATTCTGAAACACACGAACTTCCTTCCAAGACAAATACACTAGAATAAGAAACTTTCTGCAATATAATCAGAACAAAACTGGGAACTTACGGTAATTCAGAACTATGGCAACTTTAAAGGCGAAACTATCCACTTACGGGCAAGTTCATATTGCCTTCAGGTCTAATATTTGAAGTTTTTGAGGTGAAAAGGAAATGCTAGAAAATTTGTTTTTCTTGGGCGGAATTTCCCTTAGGATTGCCAGCTGTAACGATATTTACGTTACGTCTCAGTCCAGGTCGAGTTCGTCATTATTTTTCAAAAGTTCCTTACTTTTGATTTATTGACGGAAGTGAAGTAATAACAGCAATGAACTGTGACAATAATGCCAATAGGTTTGAATTCAAATACTTTAAATATGAACATTTTTTAGCAAAAGTATATACAGTAAAAAGACTCAGCTGGGCTTGCTGATTGTAAACGGAAACTTGTATTATGAGACTTACCGATTACATTCCTTTTGGCTTTCGCACCACGTCAAATAGGCTGTAAAAACTTCGCTTTCTAAATTTTCACGGCAATAATGTTGACATCTATAAAGAAAAAATTCAAAACCATATTCAAAATAACCTTTAGGCTAAAATTCTTACCTCGATTGTTCAGCACAATACTTAAAATACGGCTGAAAAGTGTCGTGTAACTTGGAGAAGCCTTCCAGCATGTTTTCCAAACAAGACGATCGCTTGTGTTTCCTCATATCTCTCACTAATGGAAACAAAGTGTTTCTCCAAAATATTACGTTCGCACCCAAAATTTCCGTTATGTTTGAAAAGAGCTTTTCCGTGCTAATCTCTCGAAAAAGGTTTTTCGATTGCAAATCTCTCAGGCAACCGAGGAACAACTACAATTTGAGAATTCAAGGAAATTGCATTTCGAAAATTCAATTAACTTACGTCTGTTACTACTTTTAGAGTTTTAATGTAGGCCACTTCAGTCTTTATTAGTTCCCATAATGCTGTTTGTTGCTGTTGTTGTTTTTCACTTAAATCTGAAAATTTACGTAATCAGTTTTATATTAAAAATTTGACTCCTATTATGTTTATTGGATCTTGGCTCCACGGTATTTTTGGTTTCTTTCTCTATGCAAAAATTGTAATAAAAATGATTTTTAACATCAACATGGTTATTGTTTTAAATCTTGCAATAGAAGCTGTTTCGTCTTGTCCTTTTAAGAATAAACAACTTCATGTCCGATTGTTTTATAAGTGCTTTTTATCATAAAGTGAAGTGGAGATAAACTGGTACTTTATCGTACTAGTGAAATAATAGCTATTTACATTACAAGTGCGTTTATGAACATGATTACAATAACGAGAGTGGAAGATTGGAACGATGAGATCGTATACCGAGTCGTTCTAATAAATCACACGAGTTTTGTAGTCATGATTAAACCAACATGTGATGTACGTACAGGGTATTTGATTATATTTGGCACCATACCTACAGCCTTTACTATTTAAGATAGAAAAAAATTGTAAATACAAAACTTGACAGTTTTTTTCTATATTTTCTTTTAACGTTATCAGAAAAAAAAAAATCGCATCGGAAAATGGAGAAACATAGACAACTTCGACTTTTTAAATGGAACACCCTGTATATTTTGCGATAAAATGAAAGACCTTTTCTTCCTGATTACAAATATATATATGTTGATCACATTTGCATGAGCCATTTTTGACATATCTCAGCTTAAATTATAACTAAATTGCAAAGAAATTTTATAAAGATAGAGATCCTTATGGAACTTTTCTGCAAATTCTTTATAATTTAACCTGAGATATGTCAAAAATTGCTCAAGCAAATGTTATCAATATATATATATTTGGAATCAGAAAGAATAGATCTTTCATTTTATCACATAATATACAGAGTGGTCCATTAAAAAAGTCAAAGTTGCTTACGTTTCTCCATTTTCCGATGCGATTTTGTTTTTTCTAATAACGTTATCAGAAAATACAGAAAAAAACTGTCAAGTTTTTTATTTAAATTTTTTTTCTATCTTAAATAGTAAAGGCTGTAGGTATGGTGCCAAATATAATCAAATACCCTGTACAACGTTTTATTCACAAAGCGAAAAATGAAAAATGTTTTTTCAATTTTCGTTTATTAGTAGTTTTTCTTCCTTTATTTTACTTTTACAGGCTTTATTATAACATTTTGTTATAATCGTCCCGACTCGGCAATTGAAACTCTAACTTTCGTTTAAAAAAAAAGGTTTCGTTTATTAAAAGTAAAATAAAATTAAATAGCTTGGCAAGAGGGAAGCTTTGACTAATTTAAAATAACTTCGTGTTTTCGGTTTGAAGCCCGGATTCAGAGTGTCTTGTCTTCAGTTTTTCTTCTCCCAAGAAAACGGCTTCATGAGATGTCCTTAAGGAGGGCGTCGTCTTCAAGTAATAAAATATAAAGGTACCTAATTCTATACAGATGTAAAGTTTATTTTGGAAAGTTTGTGAAATAAAATCATAAACACTAAAATTCTAAAGGTGCAAGGAAATTCTGGCCGTCTAGACAATAAAATAAAAGAAGGGTCTACTCTACAGTCTCTGGCGCCTTGGCGGCAAGGATAATAATTGGGGTTCTTGCAATAGAAATCATAGAAAGAAGCTGTATAATAATTCCAAGCCTTAAATAAGTAATAAAGTTATAAAGTACCTATCATTAAAACATGGAGCTAAACTAAACAGATGATGGAATTTACTGTAAATAAATGTATAGTGAGCATCGTATTATTAATGAGGAGTTTATTGGTTTACGACAATTTGTCAAATCACAAAAACTAGTATAGATTCATAACCTAGTCCATAACACCACTAGTTGTGTTATGAATCTTATAACATAACTCAAATACAAGAGAAATGATTATGTTTAAACGTCATAAGTCATAAGCAAACGCTTGTAGATCAAATAGCTACATATATAAGCCTGCTGTGACGCGGTCGTGATATACCTGGTTTTAGGAAAATAATCAATTTTTTTTTTCAACGCTCTTCGAGATCTTGTATAATGGGCTCTATATTGGTCTAGTCACTTTATAAAAAAAAACTCGCCCAATAAAGCTCTACTTTATAATACATAAAACATAAATAGCTATTAATTAACCATCGAAAGTATTTCATTTTATTGTTTATTTTACACTACATATAACTCAAAATGCGACTATTGTCCGGGGTGGGGCAAGAGTCGGGTTTCTGCTGTCAACTTTCCGTTTCGTATTCTGAATGTAACTGACACAAATTTCTTGAGGAATTCACACACAGACACACACACACACTTTTATTCTTTTTGATAGGTGTATTTCGAAAAACAAAGTCACAAACAATACCTATTTCAAAATAAAAAATATCAGAATCAGAATCTGATTTTATCTTTACTTCGCAATTATTCAAATACAAAGGAGGCTTTCTCTTCCTTTCAAATTCTGATAATGGAATTCTCCATTTAATACATAATAATAATTATTGTTACCCTCAGCATTTCCATTGCTTAAATTATACAAATAATCACTCATAAATAAGCTTAATCATAAAGTTGGATGTTATTGTTCATAAAAGGCAATTTAGTTTTATTTGAGAAGTTTCCCAAACTTTACCTTTTTGTGCTAATAGGTACGTGTTTCCCTTTCACTTATAGGCCGTTAGATAGTGACAGATTTAGGTGCCCCATTTTCGTATACAACCTTCGAAGAGGGTTGAAAAGTACATCGATTTTGAGTAGAATAAAGGAAAATTTACGGGTGGCTCCTTGTAATAACCAACGAAAAATTCGGGTTTCCTTGCTACCCTAAAATGTACTTATCTATTCGCGCCACTCAAGTCAATATGTTTTTCGGGCTAACTACGTTGTAGGTACACTTTCATTGTTCCGATGGGCTTGTGTGAAAAAATCGCTCAAAATCTCGAGTTCTTCTTATGAGATTACGCCCTTAGTTCCACCTTTTAGCCACCTGCAACACTCAAGAATTTCGTTTTCCAAAGTCAGGTTAGATTGATCTTTCACTTTGGTGAACACAACCTGCATGAAATTATGGGCACCAGGCATCTCTTTTATTTCTGTTAAGGAAAATCCAATTTTTATATATTATCCCCAGGAGCAACTCGTGGATTTTCCATCGACCTACTTAAAATCGATGTACTTTTCAACCTTCTTCGAGACTTGTATGCGAGAATGCGGGGCGCCTAACTCTGTCACTGTTCATCATCATTATAGGCGATCACTCAATACCGAGTATGATTATCTCCTATTCTATTCCTAATAGCAGGGGTTTGAAGCTGACAATTTTATATGGCTTAACTTAAACAAACCAATGCAACGAGTACAAACAAGGAAAACATACAGACAAGGTCTAAAACTAGTTACAAATAATCACCAACTAAATTATAATCACAAAGAGATCACAGTATGTTGAAAAGGAACTTATCATTCAATATTGTTGACATTTTTATAGGTTTGTAGTATGTTGTTATAAACTCCACTCAGTCTGTCTGTTGTCAATCTTAATATTCACTGTCTTTTTTATGTGAATCATCTCGCTCACCTTTCGCTTATAAATCTGAGGTTCAGAGTCCACCATTTCAACTTCATCAAATTTAAAATGGTGGCCAGTTTTAAAATGATGTTTTGACAATGCAGTCTTGTCTTCATTGTACATTCTAACATTACGACAATCATACTTGTGCAAGCAAGCAAGCAAGGATCAGTGCTTGGTCCCCTGCTCTTTTTAATTTACATTAATGATCTAGCTTGCATCAACAGTGATGCATCAATTACATTATTTGCTGATGATACTACCATCTTATGGCTGGGATCAGACAAAGTCACCTTGGAGGATAAGATTGGACAAGATATTCGCAAGGTAAAGCAGTGGTGTAACTCCAATAAACTATTTTTTGACATATCAAAAACAAATTTACTTTCTTTCCAGTGTTCTGTGGCAAATATAAGTTTAAATGATGAGCCACTTGCTAATAAGGAGTGTTCCAGATTCTTGGGCTTAGCTATACACTCCAAGTTGAAGTTAGGTGAACATATCAATGACCTGCGAAAAAAACTAGCTCCGGCATGTTATGCGATAAGGACGGTTCGTAATGAGTTGGGTCATGACATTGCAAGGGGTGTGTACTTTGCACTGAGTCGCGACTCAGATATCGCATTGAATGGGACATGGAACTGTAGACTTTTTAAAACTTCAGTGATGAGATGATTCATGATAAGATTAGCTACAATTGTAGCATTCGAAATGTCACCAGGCCCGTAGCTATAGGGGGGCCAGAGTGGGCAATGCCCACTCTGAAAGAAAAAGTTGCCCACTCTAGAGTAGACTATAGAAAAAAAAATATATTATATAGAAAAAAAAAATACATAAAATCACATAGCAAATTATGTGATTTAATTTCTGTTTTTCTGGAGAATATTATCAATGCTTTTATAAACTCCAATTATTTTGAAGAAGTTAACATTTGCTGCGACAGTTTTCCGTTTATAAAACCACAGTTTAGTTCATATTTTACCTTAAGGTGGGTGGCATTATTGACATTCAAAATCTGTCAGTTCTGTGCCCTGATTGGTTAATTTTTTTAAATTCGTCTGCAAAAAGAAAAAGAACCTCACATCAGAATTGGAATAAACATTCTTCGATCGATTATCTACAATCAGAATATTTCGGTTTTTTGATATTTTGCGAGATTTTAGAAATAATCCATAACGACTATAGGCAATTAGGGCTGGGACTCTGTGATGGATAGAGATCGTTATTCCTATCACTATTGCACTTGCTATCTTGTTCTCTCATCATCAATAGAGAGGGGACCTCAATACAGATAGAGAAAAAATCTCTATTGGTTACAGTACAGAGAGTTCTAGCCCAGATATACTCTTTCCATTTCGAGAAAAACGCAAATTATCGAAAAACTAAAATATAAAAAATCTACATAGAACTGACAGATGGAAGTGTCACTTTACCTGTGTCATTTCCCTCTTCGATTTCTC